TGTTAGTTTATGATATTGTTAGTGTTAGTTTATGATATTGTTAGTGTTAGTTTATGATATTATTAGTGTTAGTTTATGCTATTGTTAGTGTTAGTTTATGCTATTGTTAGTGTTAGTTCATGTCTATTTCTGTTTTTTCTGTGAATGCCAGGGGTATTAGAAACAACGTTAAAAGCATGCATGCATCAGGATATGTTAAAAGGAAAGCTTTATTTTTATACTGCCTTAACAAAAATGCTGATTTTTATTTTATACAGAAGAGCCATGGTTCGGAAACTAATGTAACATTTTGGAGAAGTCAGTGGGTTCGTCAGATATGTTTTTCATTTGGAAGTAGTAAATCAGCTGGTGTAGCTATCCTGCAAGGTCAATTTAAAGGGACAATTCTAAAACAAACAGATGCTGAAGGCCGATGGATTATACTCTTGACTGAAACTGATCAATCACACTTTTTAGTTATCAGTACATATGGATACAATAATAAGCAATATAACAAACAGTTATTTTTTACCTTAGAAGAAAAAATTGAACGAATATTACATTAATTTCCCACTGCTAACATTTTATGGGGAGGAGACTTTAACACAGTGATGGATGATAATCTGGACAGATGGCCCCCTAAGAACCAGACATTAACTGAACTACATCATATCCGTAACAGATTAGGAATCATTGATATATGGAGATCTAGACTTTCAGACAAAACCTCCTACACATGGAACAAAGACAGGACGTGACAGTTGGCTGATTTCCTCAGACTTAGAAGACAAAGTGATAGACACCTCTATAGAGCCAACAATACTGACAGATCACAAAGATATCACAATCAAAATAGATGCAAATACTAACAGAGACAAAGTCAGAATAAAGATTACTGGAAATTAAATAGCACCTTATTAAATAATGAAGAATTTAAAAATGAAGTAATTAGACAGATAAATACTGGATCCAAGCAACTTTAATTATTTTGGCAAAAACTGGGAATTATTTAAATTTGAAATTAGGAATATGGCGATTAGAATAGGAAAAAAAACTTGTCCAAAAGACAAAAGAAAAAGAATCCCAAATAATAAATGCAATTATGAGAATATCAGAGAAAACTGATCTATCTGAAGAGGACTCAAATGTACTTTCAACACTGCAGCTAGAACTTGATAAACTCTATGAGGGCAAAGCCAGAGGAGCATTTGTGAGGCCTGAAGGAAGTGGTTAGAACATGGAGCAAAGTGCTTCAAATATTTCTTCAACCTACAGAAGAGAAACTTTGAACAATCATTTATTGATAAGCTTAAAATTAACAATGTAATTTGTGAAAACAAATACGTTGTTTCAAACTAAGTCTCAAACTTTTATCAAAATTTATATTCGGTAAATCTAGAAGATGAGGAAAGAATGGACACATTTCTAAGGGAACATGAAATGGATACCAACAAGATTGATGATGACTTTAAGAGAACCTCTGATAGAGAAATTAATCTAAAAGAAGTTCAAGATTCTATTTGTTCTCTTAAAGATAATAAATCTCCGGGCAATGATGGCATAAGTAGTGAATTCTATAAACAATTTGCAAAAGAACTGGCCCCATTTAAAAAAAAAAACATGTTTATAGAGTATCCTGATGCATGCTCAATATTCCAGGTAGAAATATCCAAAAAAGTTCAATCTGGTCCTCTGGACATTCAAAAAAACAAAAAACAAAACAAAGCAAAAAAATGTAGACATGTTTCGTCTCTCATCCGAAAGACTTCCTCAGTCTGAGGAGCTGTATTCAGCTCAGTCTCTTAAATAGCACCTTCTCAGAGTGGATCAACCAGTTTGCTGCTGACAACCAAAACCAGCTGATCACATGCTCAAGAAGGACCATCAGCCTAACAATGGATCATTAGCACACTGATGGCTGTTTACTATTCACAGGGGGTTGAGTGATACTAGCAATCACAGCATTGTAAGAGGGGGACAGTTGAACACGTAGGCCTCCACCCCTGTTTAATGATGGACGGTTTCTTTTCACAAAGATGGCCTCCTTTACTCCTCTCTCAAACCATCGTTCCTCTCTGTCCAGGATGTGAACATCTTCATCCCTGAAAGAGTGACCGCTGGCCTGGAGATGAGTGTAGACCGCAGAGTCCTGGCCTGATGATGTTGATCTTCTGTGCTGGGCCATCCTTTTGGCCAGTGGCTGTTTAGTTTCCCCGATGTAAGACTGATCACCGGGCAGCACGGTGGCGCAACTGGTAGAGCTGCTGCCTCTCAGCGAGCAGGTCCCTGGTTCAAACCCCGGTCCAGGGGCCTTTCTGGGTGGAGTTTGCATGTTCTCTCCGTGCATGCGTGGGTTTTCTCCGGGTACTCCGGGTTCCTCCCACAGACCAAAAACATGCATGTTAGGCTGATTGGTAACTCTAAATTGTCCCTAGGTGTGAGTGAGAGAGTGAATGGTTGTTTGTCTCGTTTGTCTCTGTGTGGCCCTGTGATGGACTTGCGACCCGTCCAAGGTGTACCCCGCCCCTCGCACAGTGATTGCTGGACATGGGCACCAGCGACCCCCGTGACCCAAAATGGAATAAGCGGGTAAAGAAAATGGATGGATGGATGAAGACTGATCACCCTCCTGACACTGAACAGCATACACAATATTACTGTTTGTGCCGGGGGACTTGATCTTTGGGATGAACCAGTTCTTGACCATGTGAACAGCTGGTTTTGGTTGTCAGCAGCAAACTGGTTGATCCACTCTGAGAAGGTGCTATTTATAAGACTGAGCTGAATACAGCACCTCAGACTGAGGAAGTCTTTCGGATGAACATTTTTTTTTTTAATGTCCAGAGGACCAGATATAACTTTTTAAGATTAGTAACAATATTCGACTAATATTGGACATGATTGATTACAATGAATTTATACTTGACAACAGCTTTATTCTTTTTATTGACTTCTATAAAGCATTTGATAGTGTAAGTCACAAATTTATGTTAAAATCTATAAAATATTTTGGATTTGGAGACTATTTTTCAAAAGCAATTAATACCCTGTATCAGGGCTGTAACAGCTCTGTCAAGTTGGCACATGGGACAACGAGAAGATTTAACATCAGTCGAAGTTTTAGACAAGGTTGTCCTTTAAACCCATTCCTATTTCTTCTTGTTACACAGATCATGTCTGTACATATTAAAAAAAGCTCAATTTCAGGGTATCTCAGCTCTAGACAGACACTTCAAATGATCACAACTGGCTGATGATACTGCAGTACTTATCTCTAATGTACATGAAGTGCGTAATGATACTGCAGTACTTATCTCTAATGTACATGAAGTGCGTAATGATACCGCAGTATTTATCTCTAATGTACATGAAGTGATTAATGATACCGCAGTATTTATCTCTAATGTACATGAAGTGAGTAATGATACCGCAGTATTTATCTCTAATGTACAAACTGGATTCCAAATAAGTTGG